AGGTGCCCTCCCCGTCAACCCAGGTGCCAAGCTTTTTGTTCGCCAGGCAGTGACTTCACACACGCACTCATCTCGCCTCCTCCTTGCACTCCACTGCCTCCTTGCACTCCACTGCCTCCTTGCACTCCACTGCCTCCTTGCACTCCACTGCCTCCTTGCACTCCACTGCCTCCTTGCACTCCACTGCCTCCTTGCACTCCACTGCCTCCTTGCACTCCACTGCCTCCTTGCACTCCACTGCCTCCTTGCACTCCACTGCCTCCTTGCACTCCACTGCCTCCTTGCACTCCACTGCCTCCTTGCACTCCACTGCCTCCTTGCACTCCACTGCCTCCTTGCACTCCACTGCCTCCTTGCACTCCACTGCCTCCTTGCACTCCACTGCCTCCTTGCACTCCACTGCCTCCTTGCACTCCACTGCCTCCTTGCACTCCACTGCCTCCGTCCCTCTCCCGTGGGGCGCTGCTCACTGCACCCCTCCCGTGGGGCGCTGCTCACTGCACCCCTCCCGTGGGGCGCTGCTCACTGCACCCCTCCCGTGGGGCGCTGCTCACTGCACCCCTCCCGTGGGGCGCTGCTCACTGCACCCCTCCCGTGGGGCGCTGCTCACTGCACCCCTCCTCTGCATGGCACGGCACGGCACGGGTGGCATGCGCATGGCGGGGCGGTGAGGGTGGCAGGGGCGCGGGTGACGGCGATGGCGGGGAGCAGCTACTACATGGCGCCGGAGGTGCTGGAGCACTGCTACGGCGCCGAGGCGGACATGTGGAGTGTGGGCGTCGTGCTCTTCATCCTGCTCGCCGGCGTGCCGCCCTTCTGGGCTGCCAGCGAGGCCGGCATCTTCAGCGCCATCCGGGCGGCGCGTGTGGACGTGTTCAGCGGGGGGTGGGCGGGCATCTCCCCGGACGCCAAGGACCTCGTGCTGCGCCTGCTCACGCGCGACCCCGCCCGCCGCATCACCCCCGACAAGGCCCTCTGTGCGTGGGGGGGGAGGAAGGGGTGGTAGGATAGGACAGAGGGGGAGGTGGGATGGAGGGATCTGCGTGGGGCGGGGTGAAGCTGGGGGAAAAGGATGAGGAGTTGGAGTAGGCGTCTGGCAGTTCAAACAGGGGCGGACCCTCTCTACCGCCTCTCTACCGCCTCTCCACCACTCTCACTCCCCTCCCCCCCCCCCCATCGCACATCCACCTCCACCGTCACAGCACACCCCCCTCCCACCCGTCCCTCTGCTCTCTCCTCTTCCCCCTCGCTTGCAGCCCATCGGTGGTTCAAGTCCGTCACTGCCGGCCCCCCACCCTCCCTTGTGCCCATCAAGGCCTCCCCGGCAGATGCTCCCACGCGCGCCCTGTCAGCTGCTGGCCTGCCAGGTGTTCGTCTGGGCGGTAAGCGCGGGTCCAGCACAGCGGGGGCAGGTGGAGAGAGGGCAGGGAAGGGAGGGGAGAGGGACGGTGGTGGCCGGCGCGGTGGGCAGGAAGGAGTGGCGGCGAGCAGGAGTGTGGAGGGCGCGGGCTGGCGGGAGCAGGGGGAGAGAGGGTGCGCGGACGATGGCCGGGAGTTGGTGCGAGGCAGGGCGGGCAGCAGCGAGGGCAGCGCGGGCCGTGCAGCACGGCTGACACGGCACCGCTCGGAGGATGTGGCGCAGCTGCTGCGCGGCGCAGGGGGGGCGCGGGAGTGGCAGGGCGGCACGGTGGAGGAGTGGAAGGCGATGAGGAGAGAGGAGGGGAGAGGCGCGCGGGGCAATGACATGAGAAGGGAAAGGGAAGGAGGCGTCGAGATGAGGGACGAGGAGGGAAGGAGGAGCAAAGGTTGGAGCATGAGCAGGGAGAGAGGTAGAGAGAGGGATCAAGAACGGAATCGGAGTATGGACAGGGAATGGGAGCGGGAAAAGCGAGTGGAGATGGATAGAGACAGAGGTAGGGAGTGGGCCAGGGATAGACACAGGGGTAGGGACGAGGAGAAAGAGACGATCAAGGAAGAGGAGAGGAGTAGAGACAGAGTGAGCGAGGGGGAGAGGGATAGAGACAGGTTCAGGGAGGGGGAGAGGGATAAGGACAGTGATGAGGAGGGGGGGAGTGAAAGGGACAGGGTAAGGGACAGGTTCAGGGGGAGGGATAAAGAGGGCGATAGAGAGAGGTACCGATTGCAAGATGGTGGGAGGGCATACAGGAGGAGTTTCGAGTTGGATGATGAACGGGAACAAAGATGGAGAGAGCGTGAGAGAGACAGTGAGAGAAGCAGAGAGTTGGATAGCGGCAGAGAGTTGGATAGCGGCCGGGACAGGCGCAGAGAGAGGGAGAAGGAGAGAGAGGAGATGGGACGGGAGAAGGATTGGAAAAAGGACGTGAGGGGGGAGAGGGGAAGAGGGAGACGAAATGAAGGTAGTGGGGCGGAGGTAGGGCGTGGTAGGGAGGAGTGTGGAGGAGTGGGGGATGGAGGGAGGAACGGGGTGCTGTGGCGAGTGGGCAGTGGCAGCAGGCGGTTGGGGGAGAAGGCACGCGGCGTGGGAGGCGTGGGAGGGGTGGGAGGGGTGGGAGGGGTGGGAGGGGTGGGGGGTGTGCAGCGCCACATGTCGGATGTGAGCGGCCTGCTGGCAGCCGAGCACGCCCGGGCCACCCACCACCACGCCCTCTCCCCCTCTCGCCGCTCCCCCCTCTCCCCCTCTCGCCGCTCCCCCCTCTCCCCCTCTCGCCGCTCCCCCCTCTCCCCCTCTCGCCGCTCCCCCCTCTCCCCCTCTCGCCGCTCCCCCCTCTCCCCTTCTCGCCGCTCCCCCCTCTCCCCCCTCTCCAGCCCCGATGCCCCCTCTGGTGCCGGGCGCGCCCCCCGCTCGCGCCCGTCACGGCGCTCGCACTGGCGCCTGTCGTGCGACCTGGACGCCCCGCATGGCAGCGACCTGGACGCCCCGCATGGCAGCGCCGCCACCGCCCAGGGCGGAGCACATGGGGGGGACGAGGAGGGGGGAGGTGGCGTGGGGGGAAGAGCAGAGAATGAGTGGGGCAGGGCGAGCGCGCGGAGGAGAGCCATGCAGCGATCGCCGTCTCCGGAGCGCGAGAGGGAGGAGCGCAGTGGGGGGGCAGCACACCGACGCACTGGCAGCAGCAGCAGCAGCAGCGGCCACGACCCCACCACCGCTCGCCCCTCACGGGCGTCCCACCCCACTGGGCTGCCCCCTCCCGGCGACCACCACCGGCGCCACCGCAGCTCCGGCGACATGCTGCCCGACCTCGCCTGCCCCGCCCCCGCCCCCGCCCCTCCCACCCGCACGCCCCCCTGCGCCGCGCTGCGCTCCCTGTCTGGCGGGCGCCCCCCTGACTGCCCCCCGCGCCCGGGGCTGGCTGGCAGCAGAGGCGCGGCCGGCAGGGAGGAGCAGGGCGCGGGTGACAAGGGCGCGGGGCGGGATGGTGCAGGGCGAGTGGGTGAGCGCACACGGCACAGTCGGAGTGCGTCGGTGGGGGTGGCGGGTATGGGGCGCAGGGAAGGGCGGAGGCATAGCGATGGGGAGGAGGGGGATGAGGAGGACAGGATTTATGGGGATAGGTGGGGGGAAGCAGAGGCAGAGATGGCAGTGCGCTCGCCGGGGGCAAGGATAGAGGAAGCAGCAGTGGATAGGCTGCTGGGCGGGGGTGCGAGTGGGGGTGGTTTGGTTCGGCACCGATCCATGGACGTGGCGTCGCTGCTGCACGCCCGCTCTGCTGATGACGCTGCCTGCCCCTCATCCCCTGTGCGCCGCGCCCTGTCCCCTGTGCCGGGCCTCAACACAACCATCAACGCCCTGTCCCCTGTGCCGGGCCTCAACACAACCATCAACGCCCTGTCCCCTGTGCCGGGCCTCAACACAACCATCAACGCCCTGTCCCCTGTGCCGGGCCTCAACACATCCATCAACGCCCTGTCCCCTGTGCCGGGCCTCAACACATCCAGCTGGTGGGCGGCACGAGGCGCAGCGAGGCGCAGAGGTGAGGGAGGTGAGGGAGGCAGCAGAGCAGGACAGCAGCAGAGGCAGCAGCCCGGGTGGGGGCAGTAGCTTCCGCATGAAGGGCAGCAGGAGCGGGGTGACAGAGGGAGGTGAGAGAGGAGAGGGAGGAGAGGGAGAGGAGCGTGACAGGTGGAGCTCTGGCCAGGCACGGAGAGCAGTGGGCAGTGCAGGGGGGCTTTGGGGGGGAGGTGAAGGACACGGGCACATGCGCAGCAGCAGTAGCAAGGGGGAGAGCAGAGAGGGTTCATCGCTGGACCGAGAGGGTGGGGGTGAGTGCAGTGGATGGGAGGAGGAGAGTTCCGAGGTGCACGGTGGGGAAGAGCAACGGGGGCAGGGACACAGAGCGAGCGGGTGGGGCCTCAAGGCGGTTGAGGCGGCTGATGGGAGGCGGTGGAGCAAGGGAAGTGCCGGCAGGCTGGCACGGTACCGATCTGCAGATGTGTCCTCCCTTCTCCACTGACCCAGCTCTCTGTGTCTTGCCATTCTTCCTTTAGCGCAGTCCTGCTTCATTTGCGATGCCTCGCATGGTACAGTACTGGAAGACCCCGGATAGAGGCGCAGGCTTATGTTAGGCGCATGCACCTTAAACGGAGCATTGCGCTTATATCCGCTCTTCGATTATAAGGGCGTATTCTTGGTTTCGTGTCATCTGCTATTTGCGTCTTCGAAAAGACGCGAACTGTCATTCAGCAGCTCGGGTCAACGAGACAAACATGTTTTTTGACAGAAATTAACTGGCCACTAGGGGTTTTTTTTATCAGAGTAAATTACTCCGTTTCTCTGAAAACCAGAGTGGTTTTTTGGGGGTTCACTCTGACGCTTCTGGGTATTTTGTTTGGAAGTTTTCTCTAATTTGCAAGGGTTTTTATTGTTGGAAACATACCGTATTTCCCCGGATAGTAGCGGATATGCGCTTATAATGAAATCTTTTTTTTTTTTTAGGGTGGCGCTTGTAAATGAGTAACGGGTATAAGCGCTTGCGCTTATAAGACGGGAAAATGAATTTCGTATTTTAGGACACCAAATTGAAGCTCTCCTAAAGGCGACACAGCCAAACGTTCTTTCACACGGTTTCGTGCATGGGTTTAAGGGGACATCAACCGCGATTCGGTTTCCCACCACACATTCACGTCCAGAAGCAACGCACCTGCCGTTGTTGACTCGCATCCTGCCGTGCGGCCCAATCGCAGTGTCATGCGCCTCAGGGCTGTCGACTCCACCCGAAACCTCTAGAAGGGGGTGGAATCTTTCCTTCCAACGCTGACGCAAATCCTGCCGTGTGGAATCTTTCACAGCAGGATGCGTTGCCATGCAGGCAAATTCCACCCGAATCCACTAGAAGGTGGTGAAATTTTCCACGCCAAAGCAGCGTCGTGCACGCCACGCATGTTTTCTGCGGGGTTTCCCGTCGGTCATCGACGAGGACCCCGAGGCGCCAAAGCGAAGGGGTCTCTCCCAAGAGCATTTCATTCCTCATTCTTGCTCACTCAGACTCAGTTTTCCAGCCTCTCTCGCCAGGCTGCTTCAGCCATGGCGGAATTCCCTGGCATGCATTTTCTCTTCAAGAAGAAGCCTCGTAGGCCCGCGTTTACCGTTACCGCTGACGGATGGTACTGCCGTGCCCCACCATCGCCTCCCGAGCCACCACAGCCTCCTGCGCCTCCTGCCCCCCCTGCTCCTCCCGTTCCTCCGTCGCCTCCCGCACCTCCTGCTCCTCCGAATCCTCCTCTTTTAGAAACCTTGGGCAACCGGCCCGTGCTCCAGTTTTGCCAGTATCTCCCTAGGACATTTAACGAGTGGCTGGAGGAACCAGTCAGGGAAAGGCCTCAAGATGAGTGTACCGAGACTCCCGCGCCCGCACCACGCTGGGGCGAGCCCGAAGACTGCGCGTGGGATGAATCCGCCGTGGGCGCTGACGACGATGTGGATGCCGAGGGCGCGGAGGGCGACAAGGTCGCCGCGGCTACGACGACGACGGTGTAGAAAACTGGTTGCGCGACGACCTTCCTGAAAAGTTGCCGATACCGTCTTATCCACCGACTAACCGCAAGCGTCCCCACCCATCTTCACAGAACCGTAATGCCCGCCCCCTCTGCTAGGCACAAGATGACGCAGCACTAGCGAAAAGGTTACACATCCCAGGAAAAAATGAAGTGCCTCGCGATGCTGGAAGTGGCGGTTTCCGTGCGCTCTCTATCTTGTGAGTCTGACATCTATCGGAAGTGCTTGACACGGTGGAAGAGGGAGGTGGCCGCCCTAAATGAGGCTCATGGTGCACGGATGCGGATGCACGGTCGCGGCAGAGCATCTTGGTACATGCCTATGGAGCGGAAGGTCTATGCGAGGCTATTGGAGTGGCGGCGCAAGGGGTGCGCTGTCTCAGTTGGTCGTCTGCAGGAGTGGTCGAAGGAATTCATGAAGATTCTCTTACCCGACGTGAAGTGGAAGGGCAGTCAGAGGTGGTCGGACCGGTTTCGGCGCCGCTGGAATTTGGGCGTCCGCATGAAGACGAAGGTAGCACAGAAAACTGCCGAACGTAAGTGCCTCCCTTCGTTATAGTTACGTTTATTATGCGTCGTCCTTTATATTTTGTACTGTTACGAGTGATCTTATAATGGTAACGGTAGAAATGCTAGAGTTTAAATGCAATGCACTACATAAAGTCATGAAGGTTAGAATGTTTTTTAAATGTGATGCCCAATGTAGTATAAAAGTTAGAATGTTTTTAGATTGCTCCTGATAGTAGTGTGTGTAGAGAAGAATGTCAGAAAATATAAGTTATATCTTCTATATGTAACAGCCTGTAGGATTGATAACTGTAGTTATAGCGTTTTACTGTTTGGTGGTGCACCCTTTCTATTTCTTCTTGCCTATTTGTACCGCTTGCTCAATATTGAACTCACCTTTTGGCAAAAACCCTCTCGACATTGTTCCTCCCTAGTCAAACCCTAATGCCTCCTAAGTTACTAGTTAACTACCTATTTTCTGCCCGTCGCGCGCCCAGGGCGCGCGGCGGTTTCCTCATCGTAGCGCGCTGCCCCGTCCAGCCCGCGCGCGCCGCCTCGTGCGCCTGTGAGTCGCCCTGCAGCACCCGCGCACCGCCCCGTGCAGCCCGCGCGCCGCCCCTCTGCCGCGGAGCGGCTTTTTCCCCGCCCTCCCCCTCCCCCCACCCTTTCTCCTTCATCTCCTGGCTGCGCGTGCAGCCGTGGGGGGGAGGGTTTGAGGGGTGGCAGGTATGGGGGTGGCGGGAGTGAGTAGTCCCTGCTCCTCCTCCTCCTCTCTCTCTCGCTGCTGCAGCTGACGCTGGGGGGGGGGGTGGGGGAAGGGTGTGGGGGAGCCGAGTGAGTAGCGCTAGGGATGCCGAGGGGTGTAATCAGGGGGTTTGGGAACATAGGGGGAGGTTGAAAGGAGGTAGCCGCCGTGAAGCCAGCAGCTCCAGTAGTTCGGATGCCCTTGCTCTGGTAGCTCGTGAGCCCGTTGCTCCAGTCGCCCGTGGGTCAGTTGCTCCAGCCGCTCGTCTAGCCGCGGAGCCAGTTACTCCAGTAGTCCGGATGCCCTTGCTCAGGTAGCCCGTGTGCAAGTTGCTCCAGAGGCCCGTGTGTCAGCAGCTTCAGCCGCCGCCTCCTATCTCCTCTCCTCTTATAGTCCCTCCTCCTCCTCACTTGCCCTCTCCTCCTGTTGCGCCTGGTGTACCCCTTCAGGGGGCGCTAACTGGATATTTCTCTCCTACAGGCAGTTATGGGGGCGTGTCAGAAAATATAAGTTATATTTTCTATATGTAATAGCCTATAGGATTGATTACTATAGTTATAGCATTTTACTATTTGGTGGTGGACCCTTCTTGTTTCTTCTTGCCTATTTGTACTGCTTGCTCAATATTGCACTCACATTTTGGCAAAAACCCTCTCGACATTGTTCCTCCCTAGTCAAACCCTAATGCCTCCTAAGTTACTAGTTAACTATTTCTTTTTGACAAAAAAGTCTTTAAAAAAAGGTTAAAAAACATACCGAAATATAGGGATGCGCTTATAATAAGTACAGGTTTCACAAGGGGTGCACTTATATTTGAGTCGCCGCCATAAGCGCATGGCTCCAGATAGAAGCGCCGGCGCCCTTAAACGAACGGGGCTTATATCCAGGGTGATACGGTATAGTTCGCAAATCTGATGTGTCTAGCACTACAACGAAAGCGAAGCGAACTAAAGCGAAGCAACAGTGAGTCAACCAGAGCGGTTGACAGAGAGACAACAGCAAGAGGTTGAGTGAAGGTCAAAGGTCAGCAACCTTTGACTCGCCGAAGGCAACGCGGCAACAAGGACACATAACTGACTCGATATTGAGCAGTTACCCGATTCGTCGCTGTATCGAACTGCAACAGCAGTTACAGTTAGTTAAACCTTTCGTATTCCTTGTAATCATATGAAAGCTTGTATCTCTTTGTTATTATTAACTTATCTTGTTCTCACATGCCAGTACAAGGTGGTTCAATCAGCTCATTAATACGCTTCCGCTAATACATCACTACTCTAAGTCTTTAGTCTTGAAAACGATCCTAAGGGCTTTTCTTAGCCCAACGTGGTATGAGAGCGGTTACGACAAAAGACAACTTTGTTCAAGGTCCTATAATAACAGAAGTCATGACTTCGCAAAAAGAGAGAAGCTCGTCTACTGAATCTCCCAGTAACACTCTTACTCCACCACCAGCCTTTGGACTACAGACAGAGAGAGGCACAACCCAAGGACCAACAGCTAAGCCTACTGAAAACCAGCTCATCAAGCTAGCGGCTTCGACCCAAGCATGATGGAGAAGTTTTTCTCCTTTATGTCGTTCTACGAGAAACACCAACAAGTTTGCACCTGCACAGTCAAACAACAGCGACAACAACAACAAAGTCACTCCCATGAGCCCTGACGGTTCATCATTTGCTCGCGGAAATCAGCAACCAACCTTAGCACCGTATGAGCCTCAACGCAGCTCTGTCAGCTTCATGCCAAATCGACTCCCACCTGGACAAGAAACAAAGACACTAGACGCACTTCAGTTGCAGTCGCAGTTTGCACACATCCTGAAACTACAAACGTCAACACCATTCGACGGCAAAGACTTATATACCTGGTCTTTTGAGTTCGATCTAATGACGGAGGTGTCAGAACATTATAGCTTATACATTTGTGTAGGCTGTAGTGGGGTAGCCCATAAGGGGTACAACCCAATTAGGGTTAGTACTTGTACCCAACTGTTTCATAGTGCATTCATTCCATTCTCACTTCTCGTCATGGTATCGAGCAGGTTCCCGAGTGGGAATACTGCCTAGGGCCCACCACGAGCTTTTTCTCTCCCTGTAGTCAGGGACCACTTCCTCTCTGTTTGCCCCACCACTCTCACCGTTGACCTCCTCGAGAAGGCCCTCCTAGCGATAGAGAAGAGCATAGTCGCTGTAGGAGCCTCTCGTGGTGACC